GGGGAGGTAATAAATGGGATTCTTATAAAGTGCATTAGTAGTGTGCATGTTTTGTCCAATTTTCCGCCAGTTGCTCGATATTCCATTTGATACAGGATTGAGACGAAAAGCTCGGTTTGTAGGAGTTGTTTCATTCTTATTTATCTATTTTTTAAAATTTAAATGAAATTAATCTCCCTTCACACACAAAAGATTGTTTTCGTAATACACAGTATTCATTTCTATTTTCAATCTTCCTTGCAGGCGTGCTAGCACAGCCATCATGAAAGGTGAATTTTTCCTCATAGTGTTGCTGAGTCTGCCAGTTGGAGGCAAGTGCAGCTGTTACATGGCAGATTGGACTTGGAGCTTTGACAAGGCGGGCCACTCTCAATGCAGCCAGGACAACACATACATCCAAGGGTTTGAAAAAAGCTCAAGGCTTAGCGGAAGTAGCGACGGGCTCGGCCTGATAGATCACGCGCGGTGCTGCTATCCTCCGTCACCATGGCAACGGTCACGCACTCAAACGGTTTTCAGTGATTGGAGAATCCCTTTAGACAGCAACAACCAATGGGTTTCCTGCCACGATGGATACTTCCTTCAAGGTTTTTACAGAAGTGGCTCGTCCCCTGGCCTGCTTCATAACATAGAAGATGGTAGGTGCACCAAGCCTGCGGACCACCCTAATGATTACGGGGGGTGCTACGATGAGGATATTTCTAAATGTTTCGATCAGGCAGGTCTCTGTAAGTGCCAGGATGGCTACTTTGTAATCGGACTACACCGAGGAGACTGCGACAACTTATATTGTCTGGAGACCCTGAGATGTTGCAAGATGGCTGAAAGGCCTGAAGCTCTGGATGAGCTCTCTAAGGTCAAGTCACGTGTCATGGACACAACGATGGCAGACATTGCTTACGTGGCGCATTACCTTGGTTACGGCTGGTGTGCAGGATGTAGAGCTCTCTACGTTGGGGAAGATTTCAGACGCGATGGTGACTCGTGGTGGGCTGACCAGAGTCGAGATTGCGATGGGTACAAGCATCAGCAACGCCTCGTCATGGCTTACAATGATTGGGGATTCGCACTAAAGGACGTAAAATATGGCGAACCTGTCACAGCGGCATTGAAGCCAGAGACTATAGACTCGGGAACACTTCATAACAACGATGCTACCAAAGCTGAAAAAAGTATCGAAAGGTCTGACACGAGGGTGAGAAGTGTGACACACACAACGACGAGCTCTTGGAAGGACAGCCATGAGTTGGGGCTGACGATCAGCTATCAACCATATGAATCCCTCAATTTCACAGGCTCCTACTTATTTAAATACGAGAGGTCAGCACGCACAACAGACGAGAAGAGACAACAGCAATCACGAACGTGGACCACTAGAACAAAGAAAACTCTGCAACCTTACACAGCTGTCAAGTGGCGTGTCATCATGTTCCAGACACGCACTACTGTGCGCTACACGGCTACTGTACAAATGAAATTTTCTGCCGAACTTCGTGGTTTTTTGAGATGGGGTGGAGGTTTCAACGGTCCAAATACTAACTATCATTATGTGCATCGGGGAAGCGGCGACCGTCCAACGTTCAACTACAAGTTCGGGAACAGATCGGTACCATTCTACACAGCACTCAAACGAGAGGCCGAGTCCAACAACAGACCGTGGCTTTGGAACGATGTGAAACTCTCCCATCCCGATGCTAGAAATCGCATTAACATCTTAACAAATGAAAGTCATTATGAATTCAAGCTGACTGGGATCTTTGAAGATGTCATTGGCAAAAATGTTGCCATCGAATGGGTCACGATCCCGCTCAACAGTTCACAGTCTCTCGCAGATTTGGCTTTTGCTGCAAGGAACCGAAGAAAGGCTAGAAGTGTTGCGATGAGCGGGACGTATGACGTACCGCCGTCAGCCAACCAAACCGATGGTCCTCAAGTTGTACTCTTTGTTGAGCAGCCAACGAATTTCAATCTTTCTCAGTGCGCTCCGTCTGGTGACTAGAATAAAGCTTATATCGAGTGAAGCGAAAATCCATTAACAGATTTCAATTATTTAAGGATGGCGTTTCAATAGGTATATTTCAAATACCATTGATCGTGATACATTTTCGTATTGTTATGTCACCAAACCATCGCTTTTAGATTTATATTCAAAGATTTTCTTAAACTTTTTAATTTATTTTTTTAAACTGATTAATTTTTTCAAAGGCTAGATGAAAATGTATGTGTATATGTATCAATAAAAAAAAATCAAATGTTGAAGTTGAAGAAGAGATGTTTTCCATATAAATTTCATAATCAGAAATGTCTTTATTCATTGATTGAATTAACTTTAAAAATTATTTTGAGTTGTTTAAAGAACGCCCAGATATTGTAAATATGCTTGTGATTTTAAATTTTCTATCAAATGGGCACAGTTGGGAAGAAACCCAAAAAAAAATTAATTAGATTCTAGCTGCAGTTTCTAAAATTGACATTGTTTTTTCTTACATATAAACGGATGTTATATCATATAAAAGAATAATAATAATGTTATATTAAGTTATATTTATAATAAATTAATGGCTTATAAATACATTAATCGGAGATTCATGTCTAAATAAATGTAGTATTCTCTTGTTACAAGAAAACGGGTTAGGGTGCAAAAATAAAAATAGTGACACAGTATTGCTCTGTGACAAAAAACGTGCGCATCGATTGATAAAAATTAAGCTCCTAGTCCTACCCAATATATCAAAAATTGTCCCTAAGTCAATTGGGAAAAGAACAACAGGAAATCTCAGCGTTTGTGTTTTCCCCTTGTTTCAAACTTGCGTAAGCAGGAGAAATTAACCCCTGATGAGAAAGTCATGCCATAAACTAACGCCACATACAGGTTGTTCTATCAAATGACATACAATTCATGCATGCATATTGTTGATAAAGGCATAGTCTTTTTACGCCACGGATAGCCTAGTGTTTGAGTTAGATATAGTTTGGGGCACCAGAGTCGTTCATGTGCTTAGGGCATCTTAAGACCTGACTATCACGTGACTCTGGCCTGGAAGGGTATAGTCCAGCCTAAGCTGTTTTAATGCCCAGGGGTATACTCTGGCCTGGAAGGGTATAGTCCAGTCTAAGCCATTTTCATCCCCAGGTGTACACTCTGGCCTGGGCCAAACTATAATTAATCTGGGCAGGGGTTCATTTGGCCTGCTACAGCGGGTCTCACACAACATCTTAAAGGCACTGACCAAAGATGATTTTTATCAACATTACACACGTGTGTGTGTCACCTTGACCGACTATTACAAGCACACGTCAGAATAATTGACAATAAGAGATTTTCTGTAAATAAGAGTAGGCCTTCTTGATTTGATAAGACCTTCTGGTTAGGCCTTCTTGATTTGATAAGACCTTCTGGTTAGGCCTTCTTGATTTGATAAGACCTTCTGGTTAGGCCTTCTTGATTTGATAAGACCTTCTGGTTAGGCCTTCTTGATTTGATAAGGCCTTCTAGTTAGGCCTTCTTGATTTGATAAGACCTTCTAGTTAGGCCTTCTTGATTTGATAAGGCCTTCTGGTTAGGCCTTCTTGATTTGATAAGGCCTTCTAGTTAGGCCTTCTTGATTTGATAAGACCTTCTGGTTAGGCCTTCTTGATTTGATAAGACCTTCTAGTTAGGCCTTCTTGATTTGATAAGACCTTCTAGTTAGGCCTTCTTGATTTGATAAGACCTTCTGGTTAGGCCTTCTTGATTTGATAAGACTTTCTGGTTAGGCCTTCTTGATTTGATAAGACCTTCTTGTTAGGCCTTCTTGATCATGATTAGATTATGCCTTCTTGATCATGATTAGATTATGCCTTCTTGATCATGAGTATATTTGGCCTTCTTGATCGCATTCCATAAACAAGAAATAAAGAGCCCCAAACCGCTTGAAATAAAGTTTATCACAGAAGGACAATAGTAAATACATATCTTCAAAATTGTTTCCTCATTTATAAGAAAAAAACTTAATAAGTTTATCTTAATCTGTGATTAGATCGTTTTTTACCCCAAGTCCGCACTGGTTGGGATAACAGGGGTCATAAAACAATTTGCAGTTTGGTCATTGCTGGTGTTCGTCCGTCACAAGGCCTGGGATTATTCTTCTAGGATCATTAGCTGGTTCCCAACAGCAAATCGCCTCTCTCCAAATCGCTGGACAGCCCAAGGGAACACGATGTGGATGATGCAGCTGGGCACCAGTGGCGTCGCTGGAGTGTTTAGTGCACTATTGTTATACGGTCTCTTTGATTCCAGCATTATTGCCCCTTGTGAACGGGTCCCATCCCCCCGGGGGTGCTGGTGATGGGGGCTTTGGCTGGGCTTTGGTGGGGATTGAACTTGAGACCATCAATTTGAGATTTGCTCAGACAACTCGGCCACCCAGCACCCATAAACGGTAATACAGCTGAATAAATGGTAATTCAGCTAGATAAATGGTAATACAGCTAAAAAATGGTAATACAGCTGTATAAATGGTATTACAGCTATATAAATATTAATATCGTGAAAATAATTTTTGGGGATATGAACAACAGAATCGTAATCGTAATCGTAATCGTAATAAATATTAAAAGCACAAACATAAAAAAAAAAATTAATAAAGATTGTTTTCTGGCTTTCAAGTAGGTTGGTATGTATTAATTCTCGTGAGGTACATTTTAAGAAAAGACAATATGTGTACACATGACTTTGTGTAAAAAGCAACGATATGTACATTTATTAAACGTAAACAATTTGCTCCTGGCGCGAATGTCAAGATCATAGTCTAAGAAAAAAGATTTCGTGATTACAAGATAATAAGATAAGCTTTCGGATTAGTACAATGCTAGAATGTGGGTGTCTAGAGTAAAGCTAGAATGTGGGTGTTTATAGTAATACTAGAATGTGGTTGTCTAGATAGAGTCATGCTAGAATGTGGGTGTCTAGATAGAGTCATGCTAAAATGTGGGTGTCTAGATAGAGTCATGCTAGAATGTGGGTGTCTAGATAGAGTCATGCTAGAAGGTGTCTAGATAGAGTCATGCTAGAATGTGGGTGTCTAGATAGAGTCATGCTAGAATGTGGGTGTCTAGATAGAGTCATGCTAGAATGTGGGTGTCTAGATAGAGTCATGCTAGAATGTGGGTGTCTAGATAGAGTCATGCTAGAATGTGGGTGTCTAGATAGAGTCATGCTAGAATGAGTCTAGGGTAATGTGCTGAAGTAAAGTAACTTTTAAAAAAATTAATTAACGTCTAATGATATCAGCCCGATATATAAATATCTATATACATACATATTGTCTTGGATTGAATAATTCAAACACACAATCTAAAGCACAAAGGTGCCTGGACAGGACGACCTCGCTCATCGATTTGAGCACGGACATGGCGGCGGTGGGGGTTCCATTTCGAAACACTGACAGTCCTCATCAACATCCGGGGCAAAGGTCATGAACGCGTCTTGTCGGAACAGCCAATAGAAGGTTCCGGCATACAGCAGAACAACGGCAATGGTCATATACTGCTCAGTAACATTTGACCCAAACGTAGGACTCTGTCAGGATTGAAGTGGAGGTCAGAGTTCAATTAGTTTATCATGCAAATAAAATAGTGCCCTGCTTCTCATTCAATATAATCATGTGTCAAAATAAATTGGTGTGTAAATTGTGTATATACATGTGTGTGCAAATGTGTGTGTGTAAATATGTGTTGGAAATATCTAATGATAAAACCCTAATGACCAGTCTAAAATTCTAATTATTTGGATTAAAATCATTTCAATCGAACGAGTGTCTTCATTCTGAGTTAGATAATGTTAGAATCAAAGAGACCGATAGAAAATAAAATGATGAAACATGGGTTTTCAAAAGTCCTTGTAAGATAGTCCTTGTGCTTACTCCAGGCCATTGTAAGATAGTCCTTGTGCTTACTCCAGGCCATTGTAAGATAGTCCTTGTGCTTACTCCAGGCCATTGTAAGATAGTCCTTGTGCTTACTCCAGGCCATTGTAAGATAGTCCTTGTGCTTACTCCAGGCCATTGTAAAAAAGTCATTGCGCTTACTTCAGGCCTTTGTAAGACAGTCCTTGAGCTTACTTCAGGCCCTTGTAAGACATTCCTTGCGCTTATATCAGGCCCTTGTAAGACATTCCTTGTGCTTACTTCAGGCCATTGTAAGACATTCCTTGTGCTTACTTCAGGCCCTTGTAAGACATTCCTTGCGCTTATTTCAGGCCCATGTAAGACATTCCTTGTGCTTACTTCAGGTAATGTAGGCACTAAAAATTGGGATAAATTTGTTATTTTACACAATTCAGGTAAAAGTACGCACTAAGACATGGAGAAGGTCTGTTATGGTACTTACCTCAGGTAACGTACGGTTTACTAGACGGACGGTGGCCGTGGCCGGTTTGCGAAAGGAAGTCGGCTGATAAAGTCCCTTCCGGTATAGACACCTCTTGATGGTCTGAAGCAGAACCATTTTCTGTATCCTGTTATGTAATCATTGTTTACCATTGACTGATCATTTCGGATTGCTTACATTTTAAGAATAGATAATAGGGGCAAACATGCTTCAGAAATGTCAGTTGTGAACATAATAAATGTGAATAAAGCAAAGTCTGTGCATGTGCAATTTAGAAAATAAAGCATTCTGTGTATGTGAATGTGCTATATAAAAAATTCCAAATATGTTTTAAAGTCTTAAAACATAATCCAATATTTCATAAAACCAACTGATGTTTAAACAATTTAAGTTTTCAGAATCGGCTGAATTAAAAATAAATAGGATTAAAAATAAAGGGATTGTTTACACTAAGAATAAGAAGAATAAGATGTTCCACTATTTATTTAATTGACTTTACAATAAGAATAAGATGTTCCACTATTTATTTAATTGACTTTACAATAAGAATAAGATGTTCCACTATTTATTGACTTTACTTTACAATAAGATGTTCCACTATTTATTGATTTTACAATAAGAATAAGATGTTCCACTATTTATTGACTTTACAATAAGAATAAGATGTTCCACTATTTATTGACTTTACAATAAGAATAAGATGTCCCACTATTTATTGATTTTACAATAAGAATAAGATGTTCCACTATTTATTGACTTTACAATAAGAATAAGATGTTCCACTATTTATTTAATTTACTTTACAATAAGAATAAGATGTTCCACTACTTATTTACTTTACTTTACAATAAGAATAAGATGTTCCACTATTTATTTACTTTATAATAATATTAATAAGCATAAGATGTTCCATTATTTATTCACTTTGCAATAAGAATAAGATGTTCCACTATTTTAACTTTACAATAAGAATAAGATGATCCACTTATGGTCCACTATATTGACTTTACAATAAGAATAAGATGATCCACTTATGGTCCACTATATTGACTTTACAATAAGAATAAGATGTTCCACTATTTTAACTTCACAAAAACAATAAGATGTTCCACTATTTATTTACTTCATGATTATAATAAAAATAAGATGTTCCACTATTTATTTACTTCATGATTATAATAAGAATAAGATGTTCCACTATTTATTTACTTCATGATTATAATAAAAATAAGATGTTCCACTATTTATTTACTTCATGATTATAATAAGAATAAGATGTTCCACTATTTATTTACTTCATGATTATAATAAGAATAAGATGTTCCACTATTTATTTACTTCATGATTATAATAAAAATAAGATGTTCCACTATTTATTTACTTCATGATTATAATAAGAATAAGATGTTCCACTATTTATTTACTTCATGATTATAATAAGAATAAGATGTTCCACTATTTATTTACTGGTAATCTACCATTTGAGCGTGGGTAGAGCAAAAAATATCCAGCTGTTCCGGTTTGAAAGGCTATTTAGACAATTATTCTTAAATTGATGCACGTCAACAGTTTCGCTTCCGTCTAAAGTTATTTCGCAGAATTCATTTGAATACTATTATTGAGTTACCGACAAAAGGGCAGGAAGAAAACGAGGAGAGACTACTATTTATTGACTTTACTATTCCAATCCCAATTACATTTCCTGTTTTTATTTTATTATTTAAATTTTTTAAAGTATGCCAACAAGCATAGCATCATTTTATGAGTGACATGTAAATGTAAAGGCTAGCGTTAAATGTTGTCCACACAATATAACGAGAGAAAAAGTCCTCGTGAAACAGTCTACCTTATTTGACAATGTGTTTTCTTCAATGTCATGCGGTCGGATGTTTCCATGTCAAACAAATCTCGCCGTTCACAAGACGTGCATTTTGGTGCTTGCTTGGGGAAAGTTCTTTTAGACCAACCACCATTACTTTCAATGAGGAAAATATGATCACAGCCAAGGCAACTCAGGGGCATGGCTAGAGTGTTTGGCGCCCGGGGACAAGATTCATTTTAAAGAGCCCCCACCCCCCCACCCCTTTTTGTCAACTCTCAAACCTGTTATTTTCATCATTTATATAATAATAAAGCACATTTTGGCCCACCTAACTATTCTGGCACCCAGGGACAGCTACCCCCCTGCCCCCTTAGCTACGCCTCTGAGACAACTCCAAGTCACTATATCATTTGAAGTCCAGGGCTGCGACTATTCGCACCCGGGTACCAGAAGTGAGAGGTTGGGATAAAAAAAAACTATTTAAAATATTATTGTTGGGTTTGTAAGACAAAATGAGGTATCAAATGAAAGATAATTGAATAGACTATTTGTTTGTAAACTTAATTCTTCAGTTTACCTAACATAAATTATCACAAAGGAAATCCGAATGTGATTTAGTCTAAAGGGGCCCAGGTCCGAATAGCGGCTATGCGGACCGGCAACGTAAGGCTTGTGGACCGCTGGGGAACACTTGCTCTACAAGCATATCGGCAACTTAAGGCTTTTGGACCGCTGGGGAACACTTGCTCTACAAGAATATCGGCAACTTAAGGTTTGTGGACCGCCGGGGAACACTTGCTCTACAAGAATATCGGCAACTTAAGGTTTGTGGACTGCTGGGGAACACTTGCTCTACAACAATATCGGCAACTTAAGGTTTGTGGACCGCTGGGGAACACTTGCTCTACAAGAATATCGGCAACTTAAGGCTGTGGACCGCTGGGGAACACTTGCTCTACAAGAATATCGGCAACTTAAGGTTTGTGGACCGCTGGGGAACACTTGCTCTACAAAAATATCGGCAACTTAAGGTTTGTGGACCACTGGGGATCACTTGCTCTACAAGAATATAGGCAACTCAAGGCTTGTGTAGCGCTGGGGAACACTAGCTCTACAAGAATATCGGCAATTTAAGGTTTGTGGACCGCTGGGGAACACTTGCTCTACAAGAATATCGGCAACTTAAGGTTTGTGGACCACTGGGGAACACTTGCTCTACAAGAATATCGGCAACTTAAGGTTTGTGGACCGCTGGGGAACACTTGCTCTACAAGAATATCGGCAACTTAAGGTTTGTGGACCACTGGGGATCACTTGCTCTACAAGAATATAGGCAACTCAAGGCTTGTGGACCGCTGGGGAACACTAGCTCTACAAGAATATCGGCAACTAGAGGCTAGAGGATTGCAAGGGAACACTGTTCTAAAAGAATATCAGCAACAATATCGTGAATCGCTGGGGAACAGTGCTCCAAAAGAACAATGGGAACACAGTTGATTGCTAGAACTAAAATAAAGGGTTAGTGGTTGGTATCTCTTTCGTATAAATAGAGCTTACGCTTACGCTGGTCTGATCTACAGCAGACGACACTCTCCTTAACAGTCAGTGTGACATTAGAGCGATACAACGAGCAGTGGACATTTGTGGACATTGGAAATAGTCTCTTTTTAAATCAAATATACATATATATACATGGGCATTAAGATAAGCTAGATCTGTACACGAGCCATAGGGCCAGCCAAGAGCCATAGGGCCAGGCAAGAGCCATAGGATCAGCCTTAAGCCAACAGGCCAGCCATGAGCCGACAGGCAGCCATGGGCCATAGGGCCAACCATGAGTCATAGGGCCAACCATGAGCCATACCTTTTGTCTCTGTTAAATAGTGAGCATTAGCAATGTACAACTGAACGGACTACTTTTACATAACATCTGGTCAGGCATGGGCGCCCACAGAAAACTTTCTGGGGGGGGGGGTAAAAAAAATCGATTAACTTTCCAGGGGGGGGGCACACAATTTTTAGCAATGTTTTAATATAGTTTTAATTTACTGTAGCGTATTTGTATGATGAGCGAACGGACAGGACATCGGCTTAGTTACTTTCTCTTTATTTCCTCTTTACTTTATTACATTTTTTGTCTATTTTTGTCTAAAAAAATTTTATCAAATCAATCCGGGGGGGGGGGGGAGTGCCCCCCTTCCCCCCAGGTTATTAGAAACCTGTTGACCCTAAGACAGAGCGATATTTAACATGAAACCTATTGTAACCGAAAACCAAATGATAAAAAACACCACGAATGACACTAGATCAATATGTTTCCCGATCACTTTGTACTGGTTGATACTAAAACTCATCTCGCACGTGGAGTCTTTCCGATTACTTCCGTCTTCTGACGTGTATGGTGGCAATTCGCTCTCGCTGGGGAAGGACTCGACCGAAGACACTCGCATGAGTGAAGTTTGGGTTTTGTCTTGCATAGTTGAGCGGTTGCTGGGTTTGTTAGGCGTAGGAGAAACGGCTCTGTTTAGAATAGCTATTTTTTTCAATGCGCTCTGGAATTTTGTCTTTGCCTTCTGGTGCAATGCTTCTTTCTGTGGACAACAAATATTGACACAATCGTGATATGTGCTCCGTGACAAAAAAAAAAAAATCTTTCAAAATGAATCTTTAGATTTATTTATTATTTCAAAACTAGAAAAAGACTCTAAGAAATATTTTTTTTAAAAATCAAGAAAGTAGTGTCAGATTTAAATTGAATGTATTCGCGTTTCTTATTTAAGTTAATTTATTTGTATAGACTAAACAGACCCGAAGGGCTTAACCATTGGTTAAAATAAACAGGGAAATCTATACGCAGATATCGTATATTATTATCTCATCTTCTTATTGAAACTGAAAGATTTAATTCGATCCTTTTTTAAATTTCGCAGTGAGGGTGTTTGGCGCCCGGTGACAAGATTCATTTTAAAGCATCCCCCCCCCCTTTCCTTTTTTTAAATCCATTATTTTCATCAATAAAAATAAAGTAATATCAAAAAAACATTTTGGCGCCCCTAACTAGCTGGCGCCCGGGGACATCTGTCCCCCCTGCCCCTCTTCGCTACGCCTCTGTATTAATTGGATTATAGTGAATTAGCTGGATATCATCCGATAGCCTTTAGTTGTTTTTTTAAACTAAGCCATACAAGGGCAACACACTGTGCTCAACACACTGTGCTCAACAGTTGTCTCACCTCCTCCATATGAGACAGGTACACAATGATGATGCTGTCGATGACGGTCAAGACCGAGATGGTGAGGAGGATGAATAGGTAGATGGTGACCTTGGGCATGGTCAGTGATGACCTTGGCAACATGCTGCTCACTATGCTCATGAAGACGGACAGTGCCAACAGCACGGTTATCCCTGGGAATAGACAGGATCAGTTGTGACGCAGGCAGCCATGTTTAGAGTACACATAACTGCCATGACGTAGAATACATAACTGCCATGACGTAGAATACATAACTGCCATGACGTAGAGCACATAACTGCCATGACGTAGAACACATAACTGCCATGATGTAGAACACATTACTCTCATGACGTAGAACACATAACTGACACGATGTAGAACACATTACTCTCATGACGTAGAACACATAACTGCTATGACGTAGATCGCATATCAATGTTGTAGAGTTGCTACTGGGAATAATATACTAGGACAGTGGTCGGGACTTTTTTTGGTGGCAACGAGACGAATGTTAAATGTTAATCCTGTAACTAGCAGTATCCCCGGTTTACTCTAGACAGATCGAAGAGCCGCATGTAGCTTGCGAGCCGCAGGTTCCCGAGCCCTGGGCTAGGAGATTCCTGTTACTGTCTGTCGGTGGCGTAGCTAGGGTTGGTGTCACCCCTTAAAACGGTGTCACCCGGTGCGGTCCCCAACCCACTAGCTACGCCACTGCTGTCTGTGCAGTTAGTGGAATATCGCGGCATTTATACTTTTAAAAAGTTAAGGAAACTATGCTTTTTAAATCCAGACATTTGCCATGAAATGGTAAATAACTGCATCACATATATTTAAATGTGATGAATAGTTCAATCTAATCATGCTAGACATTTTAGGAAACATGAACTACAATTTATGGCTGAGACGATTGTCACGCTTGCCTCACGCCCACCTCCTGAACACATAACGTTGGATAACTCACCGTAGCCGATTTTCTCCCCGGATTCGACTGGGATGACAAACACGAGGAGGTTCAGGAAGGAGAGAAAGACAACCGGAAGTACAATGTTCATCAACAGGAAGTTGGGGCGTCTTTTGATGGTGAAGGTCAGCTGTCAGACAGGTCGAGGCCATTACATTTAATCACATGTTAAGGAGCAATGGTTCTCAAAAGCGGGATATACTAACATGGTACGCGGGGGGGGGTTGACCACACAGAAATTTTGGTGGGGTGGTGGCATGCAGGCAGGGCGTGGGGGGGGGGGTTGCTTCGGGGGGGTCCTTGAGAGGTTACTTGTAGAAGGAAGACGTATTTTTATTCGAAATTAATTATTTAAATATAATCACATATCTATACAGTTTGTTGACATCAAATACGGATTGCGAATATATGTCAGTCAGATGAGCTGCTTTTGAGGCCATCCATTGTCATCATTCAGATTGAGTGGCAATCGGCCAATCAGCCAATCAACCAATCAGCCAATCAACCAATCAGCCAATCAATCAATCAGCCAATCAACCAATCAGCCAATCGACCAATCAACCAATCAGCCAACCAATCAATCAACCAATCAGCCAATCAACCATCAGCCAATCAACCAACCAATCAGCCAATCAACCAATCAACCAATCAGCCAATCAACCAATCAGCCAATCAACCAATCAACCAATTAGCCAATCAACCAATCAGCCAATCAGCCAATCAACCAATCAACCAATCAGCCAATCAATCAATCAACCAATCAACCAATCAGCCAATCAACCAATCAGCCAATCAACCAATCAGCCAATCACCAATTAGCCAATCAACCAATCAACCAATTAGCCAATCAACCAATTAGCCAATCAACCAATCAGCCAATCAACCTATCACACTAAACGATTATTAACGTTCTTGAGATTTTAGGTGTGCCATGCGTCACGTCATTCGTTCTCATCAATAAAACAAAGCTCTGGTTTGTAGGATATTTACTTCGACTGAGGACAGGATAATGCTTCCCGTGTCAAGGTCGGTCACTTTGACTTTGGCTTCCATGAGATCCCACTCGCCGTGGGGGGTGAAAAAGGTCCTCTTGACGTCAGCACTGCTGGAAACAAACTGCATCTCTGCGGTAGACAGTGTCATGGCAACAAGCTGCAAAAAAAACCAAAAAAAAAACCAATCGGAATACATTCATTACCAAAGAGAATCACGTGATATTTGTAAAAAAAAAATACTTTCACAAACTCACCTTAAGTTTGGTACCATAATAAATAAGAGTAAACCAAAGAATCCATGTTAAGTCATTTATTAAGTCTTTTATTAAGTCCTTTCAATATTATTTTAAATAATATTTGTAATTTATTTAATTTACAATTTTCAATTTTGGAAAATTTTCCTTCATAGAACAAAATTTGTTTGTTTGTTTGTTTGTTTGTTTTTTTGTTTTTTTTTCAAATATCGCAAAGAAAGGAGGCGATAATCTAATAACATTGATTTATTTCTAAGAATGAGAACTAATATAAAGGAAATTAAGTTCTATTTAGAGGTATTATTTCATGGGTGCTACTCTCGGAACTGATATCTCTGTCTAACTTACCAACTTACGAGTTGAAAGCAATGCGAATTTTCTCAACTTTCAAAACAATGTCAAACACATTTAAAAAAACAATTGTATCAGTTGTGTGTTGGCCAGTTTTCAGAGACTTGCCTTGATGGAACAGGTCTGCTCATCAAACGGGTAGTTGGTCATCTGGAGATGGCAGGAGATCGGGAAGAGACTGCCTGGCGCCCAGTTTGTATGGCCGTTATAATATACAAACACTGGGCTATACAATGTGAAAAATAGATTTATAATATACAAACACTGGCCTACACAATGAAGAAAAGATATTTTATTCAAATTCTTTTTACTTCCATGTTATTACATTGGAGAATATTATGAAACTGTGCTTCCGTTTTTAATAGAAAATAAATTTTAAATTTTATTGACCTTAGAAGGTTTAGGGGGGGGGGGGGGGGGGGTTTTT